TTATAAGATCCCTATTTGAGGCCGCTTGCTTCATAAGTAACAAGCGGCCTAAGGTTGTCCCGAGTACAGGAGACGACTGTTCTTAGGAAACAGGCGGCTTATAAATCGTCTAGGTTCAATTTTCGGCCGCCTGTTCTTTGAAGGAACAGGCGATTGGGGATTTGCATCATTTCAGGTAAGGATACTTGGACAATGTAATGCTCTTATTCTCCTTAGTTGTTTTTTAAGTAGTAGAAGAAATAGGCGGCTTTGGCCGCATGTACCCCTTTATTCGCCAAGTTCTGCTTAGCTATTTACTCAAGTTATGCCGACTGTATGATCCCAAGCAATAACAGGCGGCTTTTAACCTTGCGCGAAGGGTTGGTGGTCGGGAGCCGCCTGTTTTCCATAAAAACAGGCGATTTTCAGACCTCATTTTGTTTCTTACTTGGGTAGAGGCTCTGGACAAATCCTGGGATTTGGTCCATCTATGCCCCTGATTGAGTAGTAGAGGAAGCAGGCGGCGGAGGCCACATGATTCCCTTGATTCACCAAGTTTTACTTGGCTATTTTCTCAATATAATGCCGACTGAATTTGTCCCAAGCAATTTTAGTCGATATCTGACTCGGATTTGAACTGTCTACCGCGTGTTTTCAATGGTAGCGGTACGTTTATCGTCGTCTCATAGCAAACGACTGCGAGATGTCTAGGAGGACACTCGGCTGGGCCGCTTGTTTTAGTTTATAGAACAATGTTCCACCCAAATGGGAGATGCTCTCTGCGACGAATTTCATCCGGATGGATGTCGTCGGACGCCTGCTTTGTTAGGGACAGACGTATTTTTTAATTTTAGGGGAGCAATCAGCTGTAAGCCTTAGATTGGTCATCCGGCCTGAGGCCTCATGGCGTTGCTAGGTTATCGAAGTATAGACGATATGGTCGCATGCTGACAGGCGTCTCGTCCTTTGTAGGAGAGTTGGGAGGCCGATTGTTAACATGCGGTTGCCCCATAGAAGGGGTCTTTGCAAGTTCCGACTAAAAACAGACGGCTGTCCTATTACGGGACTTCAAGGGCCGACTGTCTACAGTCGGATTGGTTATGCAAGGTCTGACTGAAAGAGGTCGGCTGTCCTACTAGGGGACTTCTGGGGCCGATTGCTTTCAGCCGGTTGCTATCAGGATCCTGACCGAAAACAGGCGGCTGTCCTTTTAAGGGACTTTAAAGAGCCTTCTGTTTACAGTCGGTCGTCTAGCAGAAGCCGACTGCAAACAGGCGGTTGTCCTATTTAAGGGACTTTCAAAAGCCGGTTGTTTGCAGTCGGTTCGTCTACCACATACACTTGGAAAAATTAAAAACAAATTGCAAATTTTATTGATGCAAACAGAATTACAAAATTTACAATTCTCAGAAGTAGTACTTTTTCAAGTTGTCTACATTCCAAGTTCTGGCTAGCTGCCTACCGTCTGGTGTTTCCAGTCGGTAGGTGCCGCCTCTAATTTCTTTGCAGATTCGGTAGGGGCCATCCCAGTTGGGAGTCAGTTTTCCTTGTTCATTGGCCCTACTGACTGCTTCCATCTTTCTAAGAACAAAGTCACCTACTTTCAAGGGCCGTTTGTGCACCCTTTTATTGTAGGCTCTCGTCATTCTAAGACGGTAGATTTCATGGCGCAAGGCCGCATTGCCCCTCGCTCTGGGAGTTGATCCAATGCTAGGCGCATGGCTTCCCAGTTGGCCGCTTCGTCATAGAGCATGACACGAAGAGTCGGCTCATAGTGCTCTATTGGTAGCACGACATCTGCTCCATAGACCAGGAGAAAGGGGGTCTCACCAGTCGCCTCTTTTTCAGTCGTCCTGATGGCCCACAGAACATGTGGTAGCTCATCGGCCCATAGGCCGCCTGCTTTTTCAATTTTCTTTTTTATGCCATCAGAGATTAACTTGTTGAAGGCTTCAACTTGGCCGTTTGCTTGAGGACGGCCGACTGATGAGAAGCAGAAAGAGATTCCTTGGTCTCCCAACCAACTTGTGAGAGTAGGCGTTTCAAACTGAGGCCCATTGTCAAAAACCATAATAGACATAGGGACCCCAAACTGAGTGATGACATTCCTCCAAATAAAGGAGATGACATCTTTTGTCTTGATACCTTTAACTGCCTCGGCCTTTACCCACTTGGTGAAGTAGTCGACTGCTACGACGATGTATCTGCGGCCTCCTGTTGCAGGCGTATAGGGGCCCAATATGTCCATGCCCCATTTGGCGAATGGTACTGGGCTGTGTATAGCAGTCAGATCAGTCGCTGGTCGATGGATTAGGTTGCCAAACCTTTGGCACTTGTCACATTTTTTAACCATTTCCATTGCGTCTGCTTCTAGGGTTGGCCAAAAGTAGCCCAGCCGCCTAGTTTTATTTGCCATGGCTCGGCCACCAATATGAGAGGCACAGAATCCTGAATGTAAGTCATCCAAGACCTCTCGGCCCTTTTCTGGGGTGACACATTTTAGCAAAGGTTGTAGATAACCTTTCTTGAATAGTTCCCCATTATGCATTTCAAAGTTGGCCGCCCGTTTTTTCAAGGCGACTGCTTCTGGGTGATCATCCGGCAAGATGCCGACTGTTAAGTAGGCGCGGATTCCATCCATCCATGTGGAACTTCGATCTAAAATCCCAATTGGTTCCTCTATACTTCGTTTTTTCATGACTTCCCAGAAGACGGTTTGAGGTGTATCACATGAGGCGGATGATGCCAATTTGGAGAGGGCATCCGCCTGGTTGTTCTCGGACCTTGGTACTTGACTTAGGTGGAACTCGTCAAGTGATCCGGCCTCTTCCTTGACCGCCTGTAAGTATTTGATCATGGCCGGATGGGTGGCTTCATAGTCACCGTGATACTGGCTTACAATCAGTTGTGAGTCAGAACAGGCGCCAACTTTCTTTGCCCGGCCGCCTTGCACATGCGGATGCCGGCTAATAGAGCTTCATATTCGGCCTCATTGTTTGAGGCTTGGAATTTGAAGCGTAGTGCGTACTCATATTTGTCCCCTTCTGGAGACTGGCATATGACGCCTGCACCGCAGCCGGTTGCTGTGGAACTCCCGTCCACATAGACCTTCCAGACTTAGTCTGAATTGCCAAGATCAAGCGGCCTGGTCACCTCAACAATGAAGTCGGCAAGTGCCTGTCCCTTCACTGCTTTCCTTGGCTCAAATGTGATCTCCAAGCTTTGGATTTCAATTACCCATTTTATCATCTGGCCTGACGACTCCATGGTTGTCAGGGGCCGCTTGATAGGCTGATCAGTATATACCACGACCGGGTGTGCCAGGAAATATGGTTTTAGCTTCTTCACGGCCATATAGAGGGCCAGGCCAAACTTCTCGACCATGGGGTACCTCAGCTCGGCATTTTTCAATACATGCACTAGTAGAAAAATTGAAAAAGGCACCCCCCTTTTCCCACCGGTTCTTAAAAACCGGTGGGAAAAGATTTGGGCGGGATTCGGATATTTACTTTTCCCACCGGTTCCTTTGAAACCGGTGGCAAATGTAGGTTTTCGAACCGGTTCGAACCGGTGCTAAATGTGTTGTTTAAAAAAAAAAAAAAAGGGTAAATGGATATGCCACCGGTTCAACCCAAACCGGTGGGGAAAGTACGCATATTAAAAAAAAAAACCGTGAAATACTTTTCTTCTTCAATTCCTTCAGCACGAACAATTTCATTCCCCTGCTTCCCCTTCAATTAATCTTCTTCTCTCGTTCTCGCCTGCCCTCACCATCTCCTTCACGCATAGGTTGTCCTCCATTGAAGCGCATTCCCTGGGCTTTCTCACCTCCATTGCCGCGCAACTCCTCTATTTCTCTCCATATATAGCTATCTCCTCCATTGAAGCGCATACTGTCGAGCTTTGTGACCTTCATTGAAGCGCATTCCGAGCTTTCCAACTCCATTGTAGCAGCTTCGAGGTAAGAAATATTTCGTGGTCTTCCTAGTCTATTGAATAGCTTCGCAATCTAGGGTTAGTCGTTGATTTAGGGTTTTCTATTCTTTGTGGTTTGCTTTGAGATTTTGGGTGGATTATGTTGTAATAGTAGGGTTGGGTTGAGGTCAAACCCTCTATTACTGTTAGTTATACTTCCTCTTTCAGGATTCATGATTGAAGTGGGTATTTCCTGACCTTTTCCATTGTTTCATAAATTACAAACATTGACTTCCTCAACTTACCACATTGATTCATTTTAATTGTTAATGCGGTAAGTTTAGGGTTCGAAATCTCAACTATTTTTGATGTTTGAATCCAATTTCTCTCTGAATTTTTGACCCTAATTTGATAATTGAATCAAACATCCCTTAAAATATGTTATTTTTCGAGCATAATTTGATAATTGAATCAAATAACCCTAAAATATGTGCTTTTTCGAGTTTTAAGTTTTAAGTTTTGAAGATTTCTATGTTTTTGGTTGAACAGTAATGAAATTTTATCTGCTAGCGATGTTGTGTTATTGAATTGTCGGATTTATAGCTTTTCGTGTTTTTTTGAGATTTTTGGGTTTGTATTGCAGTTTATGGGTGAGATTATTACACTGCTAGATTTTTGTGTTCGATTTAGTAAACTTTAATTTGGTGATGCTTAATTTAGTAATCAATCTGCTTTTTTGCTCTTTGTTATGCTTGAAATTGTTAGGACTTCCGTGTGTTTTTGTTTCAATTTTTAAGTTGATCATTAGATAGATGATATACTGATAGTTTTTTTAAATTAAATGAAGCTGCATATGTGTTCCCTGACAACATGATTCTATCAGATTTCAGATTCATACAAGTACCGCAGATTTATGATGAGTATGTTTTAATGGGATCTGCTAACATTAACCAACGATCCTTAGCCGGTACTAAAGACACATAAATTCCTATGGGTGCTTATCAACCCCATCATACTTGGGCTAACAAGAAAAGGTTTGCTTGCATATCCTTACTGTATAGATAAATATAGAAGGTAAAGGCATGCTTTGGATTTTATCTGCACTTGTTTGTAAAAATTTTTGGCATCATATTGTGCCTCTTTTAGAAAATAAGCCCTAAGAACTTGTTCTCTAACATTAATTCTTTTCTAGGCAAGTCATACTCACTTATAAATCAGCCGGTACTTTAGCTTGCTGCAAGTTATGTTGTTGGATTTCTTGGATTGGGTCATTGGATGGCTTACATCATTATGCAGGAAATCTCTCAAGTGGTGCAGCTGGTTCTGAAGAGATGACATTCTTACTGCTAGTACTGAAGAGCCTCCATCACCTCTCGAACAACCATCTGCATCAGCACTGACAGCATCCTGAAGTTTTGGTTCATTGTTAATGACATTGGAAATCTCTGCTTGATTAACCGCGTCCCACTCCAACTCTGTCAATGCAAGTGAATCCATATGAGAAGGTAAGTTGTCCAATCTGGTGGCCAAATCCATTCTGGTGGCCATTTGACCATCAGTTCCTGCATTAATAGCAGCATTGAAGAAAAGGAAAAGGTACATTTCCCACAATTTCACAATTGATTTATATTTGAACAGGCAAGTTCTAAATTTGATGATTATGCAATATAATACCAACCTAATTTAGATGAATTTTAATTTAAGAAAAAGTTGTGCAATTCTGAACAAAAATGGCAGCAGTAAAAATGAACAACAGTCAAACACACTTGTAGCACGACTTCGACGCAAAAGCACAATCATAAGAGTGATATGAACTCTTTGGTAACAAGCAAAAATTTGAGTTGTTTTGTTCTAAGGAATAAAAGGTGTCATAATTGAAACGTGTGAAAAATGAATTCTAATAAATTACCCTGTGAATTGGCAGAGCTGGCCAGTGAAAATTTGACTTTCCTTGAACCCTCCACCATTTGACAATGTTTAGATTGTGCACCAGAGGAAACATTGATGTCAACACCAGCTTTGCAGGTAAGTTGATCTTCCTTGATGTGCCCTCCAAATGGATTATACTTGTCATCATAGGTATTGGTGATAGTAGCGGTGAAGGAAGGAGGCGTAAGTAAGGCATCTTCCTGAGGATCGATGACAGACGATCTCTCATTGGTGTGGCCATGGAGATTCTTGGGTTGAGAAGCAATTTCAACAGACCTCTTGGTCTCTACTGTTAAACCTGAATTATGCACTGAACTTTTTGGCGTTTCCCTTTGTGGTGGCACACTACGTCTTGGTAACAAGTTAGTGGATTGCATTGTACCTGTAAGTTCCAAGCATCATTAAAAAAAAGAGGATAAAGAAAGGTATCTAGTGGTTAAACCCCCAAATTTGAGCCCAGAAAATCTTGAAATTGCAAGGTGTTTAGAGCTAGGAATCCCTAGGATGTTGTTGATTAGATAAAAGCGTGAATTGAATCTGACAATGAAGCCTTAAGCACAAGCAATCGGATTGGTAGTAAAACCTAATTGGAGAATTTAAATTGAATTCAAGTATATACAAGACATTATCACATTGTTCCCTTTGACTTGGCAATTTTTCAAGATAGGTGGCATCTATTGCATCTAATAGCTTTCTTTTTAATGTATATCTGATGTATTACATATTATTTTACTGGACAGGGATTATTTTCGTGACTACGCAGGCCTTTGTTATAGAGAGTTTGGTAACAAGGTGAAGCATTGGATTACACTTAATGAACCATTGAGCATATATAGTTTCAGCAATGTGTTGTTGTTGCAGCAATGTGTATCCTCGTGGTTCGGGCTATAATTGTTCAAATTGCTTTTTATTTGTGTATGACCTTGTATTTTATTTTTTTTTGGACGAAAATTGTAATATTACGGCTTTTTTTAATGAAAATATGTAACTTTATATATATGTTAGTGTTTATATATCAATTTAAGTGAAAAAAATGCAAAAAAAAAAATTTTTTTTTTTATTTTTTTTGGGCATTTTTAGCACCGGTTTTTACTTAGAACCGGTGCTAAAAGTTTTTTTAAAATTTTTTTGGGGACTTTTAGCACCGGTTCTAAGTAAAAACCAGTGCGAAAAGTGCAGTTTTTGCCACCGGTTTTCCCAAAGAACCGGTGCGAAAAGCCATTTTCCCACCGGTTTTGAACCGGTGCGAAATCTATGGGGTTTTAGCACCCCCCAAATCGAGACCGGTTCAAAACCGGTGCGTAATGGGGGGTTTGAACCGGTGGGGAATTCGTATTTTCACCTAGTGATGGCTGATGAAGTAAACAGGGATCTGACAGCCGTCTCTTTCAGCAAGAAGGACGGCACTGACCGCATGGTCAGAGACGGCCAAATACATGTACAGGACTTCATCGGCCAGAGGGCTTACGAGCCTTTGCAAAGAATGCAAATGTTCTTTCAACTTTTGGAAGGCCGCCTCAGCATCCGGCCCCCATTCGAACATAGCTTTCTTTTTTATTGCCTGAAAGAAGTAGAGGCATTTATCGCCTGACCGGCTGAGAAATCTTCCCAAGGCCGCCAGACAACCAGTTAACTTTTGAACCTCCTTTACAGAGCGGGGCGACTGCATGTCTATGACCGCCTGTATTTTTTCAGGGTTCGCCTCTATCCCTCTTTGGTCAATTAAGAATCCGAGGAACTTCCCAGACTCAACACCAAAAACACATTTTTTAGGATTTAGCATGACATGGTGCTGCCTGAGTGTGGTGAATGTTTCTCGGAGGTCTGCCAGGTGGTCCGTCTGGAGTTTGGATTTCACAATCATATCGTCAATATACGCTTCTACATTCCTTCCAATCTGATTGAAGAAGACATAATTTATCATTCTCTGGAAGGTAGCAGGCGCATTTTTTAGACCAAACGGCATTACTGTGTAACAAAATAACCCCTGATCAGTGACGAAAGCCGTCTTCTCTTGATCTTTCTTCCATAGGGGTATTTGGTGGAAACCAGAGTAGGCGTCCATAAAGCTCATCAAGGCATGGCCGGCTGTAGAGTCGACCAGACTATCAATCTTTGGGAGAGGATAACTGTCCTTTGGACACGCCTTGTTCAGATCTGTGTAGTCCACACACATGCGCCAAGTTCCATTCGGCTTCTTCACAAGGACCACGTTAGCGACCCAGTCAGGAAAATAGCATGGCCGAATGAACTTAGCTTCTAAAAGCTTTTTAACTTCGGCGGCAGCCGCCTGGCTTCTTTCCTCGCCATGGTTCCTTTTCTTTTGCCTGATTGGCTTCATTTTGGGATCCATAGCGAGTTTATGTACGACAAGATCCGGGCTGATGCCAGGCATCTCGTCCACTTCAAAGGCAAAGATGTCTTTGAAGTCCTTTAAGAGCTGGTGCAAATTTGCACCAAGTTCAGCAAAAGCAGTTGTCCCAACCTTAATAGTTCGGTCAGGACGAGAGTCATCCAGGACAATGTCCAAGTGTTTTCGACCGGCTGGGGACGAAGCTCATCCGGCCTTTGGCCGAGAAGTGACTGCTATTTTTGATTTTTCTCGGCGACCTGTTGGGTGACTTTCCTCTTTTTGCCGGCTACTGTTGTAGCAGGCGCCATTTCTTCACTGGGGCCGACGGCCGCAGTGGTCTTGACATCAGAGAGATAACACTTCCTGGCCATTTTCTGGTCTCCCCTTAGGGAGCCGACTGTTCCATCATTCCTCTCAAATTTGAGAAGCATGAGAGATAGGATGATTACAGCCTTGGATTGATTAAGGGTGGGACGCCCCATAATCATATTGTAGGCTGTCAGCTCTTTAACAACTAAGAATCGGACAACCATGTGTCGTCCCTTTCCCTTCTCGCCCAGGCGGACGGGTAGATCTATCCGTCCGACCGAGTGTACTACACCACCCCCAAATCCTACTAAGGGATGAGAGACCTGGTGCATGCTTTCAGAATTGTACCTGAGCTTTGTCAGGCACTTGAGACTGATGAGGTCCGAAGAACTCCCAGTGTCAATAAGAATGCGGCCAACTCTTTGGTTGGCCACTTTGCGTTCGATGACCACGGGGTCATCGTGCGGTCTTCTGACCTGTCCTCGGTCCTCCTCAGTAATTATGACTTCGGGGAAGGGGTCCTTGGACGCCTGCCCCTCGTCCACCGAGTTAATTTCAAGGCCTCGGACATAGTCTTTGTTACCCCGAATGGTCGGGCCACCCCCAGCAAAACCGCCTGCTATAGTATAGATAGGAGTTTCATCCGTATCCGAGCTATTAACAGAGTTGGGTTTTTTCTTAGGAGGCTCCCTAGAGTGTGCTGGTAGGGTAACTTTTGACTTCAGCACGTAAGACTTCAACACCCCCTTATCAGCCAAGCGGTCCAACAAACGCTTGAGACTGAAGCATTCATTGGTTTCATGGCCGACATCCTCATGGTTCAGTATTTATTTCGGTTCCGAGTTTTAGCAGAACCCTTCATAGGAGCCGGCCTCTCAATGGGGACCCGGTCCTTTATCTCCATGAGGATGGAGTAGCAGTCTTTGTTGAATTCGTACTTCGGGGAGTACGTCTTCCCTTCTTTCTTTTTCTTCTGGGCCGGCTGGTCAGAAGACTCGGCCACCCAGACTTGTTTTCTTTTTTCTTCTTTTTTGGTCGGCTGGTGAGGCCGACTCTCTTTTTTGTCGGACCTCTTTGGGTTCGACTGTTTTCCAACATTGTAGAGTTCGGTCGCCTGGATATAGGCGTCCGCCTCCATCTATGCCTCTTGGAGGGTAGCAACCCTATTCCTGACGAGGTCGAACTTGAAGGCCGACCCGTCCTTCAGACCCTTGAAGAAGTCTGTGTAGGCTACTTCATCAGGCAGCCCTTGAATCTGTATTCTCATCAGATTGAAACGCTTGATGTATGAGCGCAACCCTTCCCTCTCTCCCTGCTGTATAATGCCCAAATCAAGGGTTGTTTTCTTAGCAGGGATATTCATCGAGAAGTTGGACGCGAATAGGTAAGCAAGCGTCCTAAAGTTGTTGATGCACCCGGCTGGCAGGTTGCCAAACCATTGCTGGGCGACGCCCTTTAATGTGGCCGGGAAGCATCTGCACCAAGTTGCGTCATCCAACCCTTATAAATACATAAGGTTGGTGTACGCCATTAAGTGGTCTTCCGGATTGGTGGTACCATCATAGGTACCGACCAATACATTTTTAACTTTGGCCGGCTGGGCAGCCTCAATTATTTCCTTGGAGAAAGCAGTAGGCTGTTCCCTAAGTCTTTGCAGCCGAAGCTGCCAGTCCAGAGGCTGGACTGTAGGTGCCGCTTGTCCCCCAAAAAGGGTAGGCTGCATATTAAATTGTCCATACGGCCCGTATGGCTGCTGAGGCACATACGGGCCGCCTGGTACAATTGAGGGGTGGACTGGGCGGACGTGCCGCCTGTCTGTCCCCCCTTGGGGTTGATTGGAATACCTCATAGAGGTATTCTGAAAACTATCATTAAAGTTAGCTGTGGAGGCCGGCTCTGATAGTTGAGTATTCCTCTTCTGTTGGATTATCATCCGAGCATCGGAATATGTTTTCTTTGAACCATCCGGTTGAATGTGCCGGATGGCCTTTCTGTTTCCTGGCGCAGGAATGTTGAGTCCGGCCAAGAGTGTCGAGGGCTTTGGCCCTACCCTTGGCTTAGGGTAAGGAGTCGCCTCTCGGTCTTTGATCGGCTTGCTCCTCCCAGAATGAGAGGTCTTTTTGGCCAACTGTTCCTTGGTGGAGACAGCCGTCCGTTCAGTAATTAGATCCTTGATTTCCCCTCTGAAACTAGTCATGAGACTCATGAGTTCGTTTCTGGTGATAGGGGCGGATCCTTCGGCCTCCTGAGGAGCAGTCGGCTGACCGGCTGGTCCACTGGGCCCTGCCTGGCCGACGATCCGTTCCCTCCTTTCGGTGGGACGGACTCGCCGAGTCCTTAGAGACCCGTCAGGGGCCGTGTGAGTGTCGACTTCATAGTCGTCATCCGTGTCCTGGTCTGAGTAGACCTGGACGTCGGCCAATGGCCGCTTCTCACTTAGAGTTGGTACAAGCTCTTGTGAAGCCATCTTAAAAGTACTCTCCCCACAGACGGCGCCAAATGTTTCGGGGTTTTTTGATGTCCTGCGGGAGAGTTACAATTTCAAGACTGTCTTCTGGACGCTTGTACCTGCAAAATAACGAAGACTCCTTTTGGTGGGAGTTCCGCCTCCAACGATCAAGTTAGAACGTGTTTGAGGAGTAAAGATGCGGAAAATAAAGCCTCCCTTGGATTCCAAGAGAGGATCTGCAATATGAGATTGCTCTGTTTTGGGGTGTCAGGTGACTGACGAATGCTCTGCTTTGAGAGTAAAGAATAGGAGAGAGTATATCAGATAAGATATGAGGCTCTCTGTGTGTTTGATAATTTCTGAATACCTGTTCCCCATAGGGAAACATTCTGTATTTATAGAGGGGAGATGGGCCCAATACTAGGTTTCTTGGAAAACCTAGGACTGATTGGGCCAGCCCAAGGAATTGGGCCGCTGCGGGCTGCTCATCCTGACGGGCTTTGCAGTTGGCCACGTGTCATGTCCTTATAGGTCCACTCTGGACCTCTTGCGAGGTGACACGTGGCGGGCTCTAATTGACCCACGTGGAGGACACGTGGCGACACGTGACTGGTCCACGTGGCGACACGTGACTGGTCCACGTGGCGGGGTAAAATCCCCTAAACAAGTATCTTTTATAACTCATATAGAAAAATTGTAAAAATTTGATTAATAAACTATAAACCGAGATAAATCTAATAAGATTTCACATGACTATATTTTTCTTAATTATTAATTAAAAAAGCTAATCAAACTAGAGTATATGAATAGTGCAAAAGTCAAAG